AAGTGAATGGAAATATAAAAGTTGTGAGAAGCAAAATTAAAACTATAAAAAGAATGAGATAGACATTTTAGAATTAAAAATACAATACATTAGAAAATTTTATGGGATGGACAAAATGGAGGTAAAAGAGGAAAGATCCAATGAAATTAATGATAAAGCAACAGAAATTATTCAATCTAAAGAACAGAGAAAAGGATAAGCACCATAGCTCCCCTGTAATCCTAACACTTTTGGAGGCTGAGATGGGAGGATCACTTGAGGCCAAGAGTTTGATACCAGCCTGAGCAAGAGCAAGACCCCATCTGTACAACAAAATAGAAAAATTAGCCAGGCATGGTGGCACATGCCTGTAGTTCCAGCTACTTGGCAGGCTGAGGCAGGAGGATTGCTTGAGGCCAAGAGTTTGAGGTTGCAGTGAGCTATGATGATGCCACTGCACTCTAGCCCAGGTGACAGAGCAAGACCCTGTCAAAAAAAAAAAAAAAAGAAGAAGAAGAAGGAAGGAAGGAAAGCAGAAAGGAAGGAAGGGAGAGAAAAAGATTGGAAAAGTGAATAAACAGGCTTCTAACCTGTGGGATGATACCTAAGTATCTAACATGTGAATGGAGTTCCAGAAAGAGAGAAGAAATAAATTGATGCAGAGAAATGTCATCAAGAGTTCTATCATCCAGAGAGAGCCTATTTTAATATTTTATTTAGACATTTTTAGGCTTTTTCCATATACATAAACACATATAAACACATACCCCCCATATACACACACATACCACCATGGGATACTAAAATATCTGCTGCTGGTAAACTGTTTTTTCCCTTAATATTATACTGTGAATCTTGAATGTTTGTCTGTCAATAAATATGCATCTGCACAATAATTTTTAATGGCTAGTTAATAGCTCATTATATAATGTAGCCATAATATTTTTATTCATTAATCTACCATTTTTATGGTTTTTTCCTCTATTTTTCAGCTATTATAAAAATTCTTCAGTTATCCTTTTTTGCTACCATTTCATATCATTATTATTTTCTTCATTTATATTCCTAAAAATAACATTGCTATGTAAGAGGGTATTCATTCAACCAAAATTTATTTACCTAACAAATATTTATTTAGTATTTAATATAAACTAGATATTGATAATATGTGAAACTAGTACTGTCTCTAAAACTTCGCCAACTCTATATATAATCAACAATAATTGGTCAATCTTGAATGACAGAGATCAAAAATATGCACCCTTGGTTTCTATGGGACAATGAAATTTGGTCACAATGGGGCCACTGGTGAGGCAAGGTCAAGTGTCCACAAATTTGTTTAAGAGTTGAGTCAAATTATTAAATATTAAGAATACAAAAAAAAATGATGATTCACTGTCTCATAGATTCTTTTTCTTTACTTAAATAAGGTGAAGTGTCTTTTAGCTCTGACAACTTGGCTTATGTCAGAGCTACCCATTTTGTCTCCATTAGTACAGCAGTGACCTGTGTACATTAAGGCAGCCTCATGGTTGCATCAGTGCTACCATTATCTAATCGGCTGCAATTATCTAATCATTTCTGACAAACAAGGAAATTTTACAAATTTTAAGATTGCTTTCTGAATGTTCTATAAAAGGTCATTGAAAAATATGTCATTATTATTACTTGAACGTTGATTCCCAACAAGTTAATCAATTCTCCTGTATTCTTTTAAGAACTAATCTTTGCGAAGATCAACTGGACATGGGAGAAGATCGTACAACATATTATTAATGTGAGATGTTCTTATCCGCTGGTTGGAAGAGTAATCCTCAATTATTAATATTTTAGGGTCACCCTCTTGTGTGACTTCACTCTATCGTGGATCTGGTAACTAGTATAGCATATATTAAACAATTGTGTCTTCCTTAATATACGCTGAACACTCTTCAGGCAGGAAATGAATCTTGCTCATTTTAATTTTCCTATCAGTTAATTCAGAAACATAGTACAGGTATGCTGTTCTTTTGTTCTGTTTTAACATATTCTGGTATTCTTCAGTACGAATGCAGAAGATATTCCACTTAAAAACAAATTAAAACAACCTAAAGTTGCCAGATAAAAGACAGGACACCGTGTTAAATCTGAATTTCAGAAAACTAATTATTTTATATATAAAATAATTTATAATTATTTTATAATTTTATATATAAAATAATTTGGGAGTATAAATATCTCCCAAATATTGCATGTTTATCTGAAATTCAAATGTAACAGGGCATTCATATTTTTATTTGCTAAATGTGGCAACCCGAAAATGAATGTACTTAAAATAACTAGAGATTTCCTAGGATAGCACTCAAACTAGAACAAAAGTTTCTCCCTGGCCTAGGAAGTAAGATACCCCCCAAATCTCCATAAAATGGAATGCAGGACTTTTATGCTAACAACAGCTCACTAGAGGGGTTTAAACTGGGGCTAGAGAGCTACCTTATCAGGAATACTGTAGAAGAGATTCCTGAATTGCTTAAAAGTTGGACAATATCATTTCTAAGTGTTTATCTTTTTGCATTTTGTCTTTTTGCTTTAATTTCTAGAGCCCCTTTCACTCGCAGAGCTAGAAAATCTTTGATTGATTCATCTTCACTAGTGACCTTAGCACCATACATCTGTCTTTCTGTGGTCAGGCTCCCTCCCTTGCTTCAGAACACCAACCTCATGGGCACTCCCAGGGAATGTCCTTTGGGAGAAAGGCTGGTGTGGAGGCCATGACAGTCGCACCAATGCACAGCAGCCAGACTCCGTCTCAGAGGCTGTTCTGTGAGCACAGATTTATTCTCCACCAGATCATTCTTGTTCAGTCACTTTCCCCAAACTCTCAACGACTGCCAAGGTTAATGCAGGCTCTGACTCTGCCTGTTGATTCGTATTTATTAAGCCAATCAATGATCTTGTATCATAACGCGTCTGTTTTTAATATAACCTATTTGATGAGGCTGTATTAATTTAGGAGAAATATGCACTGGCATCCTGGCATGCTCTCTTCCTAATTATTTTACAGCCGTCATTCAGCGGTGAAATTAGACTGTGGTTATCATAGTTAATGGAAGCCCATAGCTCTTAGCTAAGTGATCTCCACCAGTCACCTGATCACTTCTTGCTCTCAGCTGCATGAGCATGATTGTGCTCTCCACGCAGTCCCTGGTGAATACATAATTGGAGCGTGGGCGTGAATGTTTTAACAAAATCTCCTGCCTCAGAGCAACAAGATGGCACTCCATTCTGGTACGGTTCTCTAAGTGGAAGGATAATAAGATTGGAATGACAAGACTGTGAAAGGAAAAGTTACACAGTAGCAGGGGCTAGGTGAGAAGAAGCAGCTTCGAAGGATATGCAGGAAATTTGAAACCTGACCTTGCAGTAATATGTTAAAAGTTGGGAGGCAGATTCCCCATGAAAAGCAAATAAGGGCATTAAAATCCTCCGTGTCTTTCCTCATGCTGCTCTTGAGCTTTGCAAAGTCGATCCCACACATCCACCTTTCTCTAAAAAACTTGGTGGAGCTCCTAGTCAAAACTGCTCATTCCTCCTTTATGTTCCCATTCACCATATTCATTCATTAAGTACATACCAGACACCAGACACTGTAAATGCACTAAGGATAAACCCGTGAACAAAACAGAAATAGTCTCTCCCTTTATGAAACTTCAGTCTAGTCAATGAGATAGGCAATTAAATAAGTTAATTAAAATCAATAATTAAGTATAAACTGCAAAAATGCTAGGAATCTGGTAGATAATGACCAGGAGGAACCAACTTTTGAAAGGATACCTAAGGAAGGCCTCTCTGAGAAGGTGACATCAGAGCTGAGACCTGACTGGCTAAAAGAAACTGGCTTTTCTAAAAACTAAGATAGAATGATCCAGCCCAGAAACAGTATGTGCAAAGGTCCTAAGGCAGGAATAAACTTTGTGTTTAGAAACCAAATGTAGGCTCAAGTGTGTAGAGTTAAAGAGAGGAGAGAAGAGCTGGGCGCAGTGGCTCACGCCTATAATCCTAGCACTCTGGGAGGCCGAGGCGGGTGGATTGCTTGAGGTCAGGAGTTTGAAACCAGCCTGAGCAAGAGCGAGACCCCGTCTCTACTATAAATAGGAAGAAATTAATTGACCAACTAATATATATAGAAAAAATTAGCCGAGCATGGTGGCGCATGTCTGTAGTCCCAGCCACTTGGGAGGCTGAGGCAGCAGGATTGCTTGAGCCCAGGAGTTTGAGGTTGCTGTGAGCTAGGCTGACACCACGGCACTCACTCTACCCTGGGCAACAAAGTGAGACTCTGTCTCAAAAAAAAGAGAGGAGAGAAGAGAAGAGGGGCTGAGAATGTGACCCTCTAGGAAGCCCTTCTTGCATTGGAATCTTGCATATAAATGGTTGCCTATATATCTTTCCCCGTTTACCAATGAATTATAAGCAATTAAAGGGCAGAAATGATATAGCATTTATTTTGCATTACCAATACTGTCATTTATGATGCCTTGGGAAACACAGGTGGCCAAGAAATGGTACTTGAACTTACATGTATTTGCTGAAATATACTGGGAATTCCAATTGCATCTGAAAGAAGAAAGCTGTTTGGTCTCTGAAAAACTTGCTAATTACAATAGTTAATATTTACTAAACTGTTATTATTTTCTAGGCACTGTTCTAAGCTGCTCATACATATTCATTTCCTTAAGGTTTACAAAAACCATATGAGTAGATATTATATTTGTTTTTATTTTAAAGACAAGAAACTGAGGAGCAGGTCAGAAACTGAGGATAGACCAACAAACTAAAAGTGAGAGTATAACAAGGGTCTGAGCCAGGATATGAGTCCAGGCGTCAGACGCCACAGCACATGTCCTTATCATGATGTTAACACTCCTGGCAGTCCAAATACATCTTGGAAAACTAATTGAGCCATTGAGATGCATCAGTACTTATTAATGTTCTGAGATTGAACTCAGGCATATGGCATGTCATGGAAGGAACATACTTACCCTGAATAAGTATTACCCAGGATTTCTAAAATACATCTTTAATAAATTTCTATCTCTCTGCTCCCATGGTTATAAGAAAGGATTATCTAGTCACACTTCAAATGGTTCTAGTGTTGCTATAGAAACTGTTTGTCCTTAAATTTTCAAGGTGGCTCTCTCAGCTTGTAAAACACTCAGTTATAGAAACAGTAGAATAGTCCTCAATCCTACTAACAATACCAGCACCAAGGGGTGTCTCGGGGAAATTTTTGATTTTTCTCAGTATTCTCCCTTTTCTTCTTTCCCTCTTCCTCCAAACTAATTCAAACCTTTCCCTCTTCCTCCAAACTAATACAAACTCTAAATAAAATCAGTGTGCTTGCTATGCAAACAAAGTTTTAAGGCAAACTTTCGAACCCTTCTCCCCCACAACCTGCTTGCTTCCCCTAAAACCCTCTTAAATAAAGCTTTCAATCCACTGCCCACTAACGATGTGTGAGAGACCCATTGTTTTGAAGACTCTTGTTCCTTGGCTATTGCCTTCTCTTGGGACTTTTCCCTAGGATGTAAGCTAGGGCCAATGGAAAACACATGAATGGAATTCCAAAAAAAGGAAGAAATGTCAAGTCTTCTGGAAAGAAATGAGAAGAAAGTACTGATGTTTTGGTAAAGCAATTCATCCGTCCTAGAGACCCATGTGTTAGTCATCTTTTTATCCATAGCGCCTAGCACAGCTCCTGGTACCCATTTAAGTCGCCAGTAAATACTGAATAAATGTATGATGTCTCTGGTCCTTTGAGCGATAAATGTATGAGAAGAAGATGGTAGAAGAGATACAGAAAAGTCATAAGGCTGTTTCGTCAATGACTCCCAGCCACAAAAATCTCTAACTCTCTTTTGCACACATATTGCTAGACCAGCCCAATCAACATTCAAGATTATCTTTGCAGTTGTTTTGAAATTGTTTTATTCTGTGATCAAGCATGTAAACCATGCAATGATATATTCACTTATTTTTATCTAAGTTTATATACTATCTCTCCAAATAGATTTTTAAGATACTGGTGCCATTTCCTTTCTCATTGTCCTTTTACATATCCTTTTTACTAATACAATGTTGGGCCCATTGCAGAGGCTCAATGGTATTTACTTATCAGCTGAAGAATATGAAGAGGTGGTGAGCTGAGTGGTCTTCTTTTTAGAGCAAATACCATTTTCTCACTTCAACTATGAGATTTTGACAGAAATCTTCCATTTATTCCTACTCATATCTTGAAAAGGAAGAAAGAAATGGAGGGAGAGAAGAAGGAAGAAGGGAGAGAAGAAGGGAGGTGGGAAGGGAGGGAGAGAGGAAGAGATAATGGAAAAAGAAATTGGGAGGAGATTTCATATAGGAAGGAGACAGTTTAGTGGGACTGAAAGAACATAAGTTTTAGAATAAAATAATCTGAGATCTACTAATGTGAGACCTTTGGCAAATAATTGAACTGTGCCTCTTTGTCCTAAAATGTGAATATTAATCTCTTCCTTAGAAAATGTGTATAATAATATGAATTTAAAAGAGACAGAATTCTTTTAGTTTCAACTGGGAGGAGTCTAGCTGGAATTAGCTGAAGGCTAGGGAGGAATACTAGAGGGGGGGGCTGACAGAATCCAAAGAGCTGGAAGATGCCGGAAGATACAGAGCCCTTGGAGTCTTCTAAGGCTTGAAAATATTGCAGATATAAAACCGTAGGGTAGGCCAGGGGCTATGGCTCACACCTGTAATTCCAGCATTCTGGGAGGCCAAGGCAGGAGGATTGCTTGAGATCGGAAGTTCGAGACCAGTCTCAGCAAGAATGGGACCTTCTCTCTACTAAAAATAGAAAGAATTAGCTGGGTAACTAAAAATAGAAAAAATAAATATTAACCATGCATCTGTAGTCCCAGCTACTGGGGAGGCTGAGGCAGGAGGATCACTTGAGCCCAGGAGTTCGAGGTTGCTGTGAGCTAGGCTGATGCCACCGCACTCTAGCCCAGGTGACAGAGTGAGACTTTATATTAAAAAAAAAAATAGCGTAAATATTTTTAATTAAGATTATTATTTATTACTATTGATATTTTCCATACAAGGATAAGAGGAAGAAAGAGAAAGACCACAAGGGGACAGCTTCATTGTAATTTGAAGTGTAACAAGGCTAGTTACCTAAGGAAGTCATTAAATGTCTTTTTCCAAGAGCCATCATTTTCTATGGTTTCCTTATGGAATTTTCTTATGATACAGGTCAGCTGTGGGCAATGCAACCTGGTGACACAGGAAGACTGAATGGGCCTGAGCAAATCTTCCCTGATGTGTTGCTGTTGGCCGGGGACCACTCTAGGCCACCTAGAAGCCATCCTCAGATCCCTGCTGTGTGGCCTTCTCCACAACGTGGCAGTTGGCTTCTTCAAGGCAGTCAGGAAAATCTTCCATTCTTTGAATATCTCCTTTTAGAAAAATCTGGCCAGGTGCGGTGGATCACGCCTGCAATTCTAGCTTTCTGGGAGGCGAGGCAAGAGGAGAGCTGCATCTCAGGGGTTCCATACCAGTCTGAGCACAGTGAGACCCCAACTCTAGAGACAAGAAACAAACAAACAAACAACAAATACTAAAACAAAAGAAAGAAAAATCAAGCCCATCTGTCTTGTGGCCTCTGGTCACACTATTAACTGTTTGAGTATCTATGTAAGGCTTAAATACAAACTCCGGAAAAAAAAAAAAAAGAGCTGATTGGTCCTATGGCTTGTTAGTAGCTGGTTAAGGTGAGACTTTTCTATTTGGCCAGTTATTAGTCTAAGTCTGAGTTCCCCTTTGAACTACCACAGGCCACCTCATGAATTGGTGATTAAGAGTCAGGTGTTCACCTGTAGTCCAGTTTATTGTGGTCTGTGTGGTAGGGTGATAGAGATTTACGTTAAAGAAACCACCTTGGAAATGGCATGTGACAAGCTTGGATTAATGGGTACTCTGCTCCAACTAAAGGATAATTTCATAACATAGCACTTAAGTGTTTTTCTTGTTAAAGGATTTGGCATTCCTTATTTCATTTTATCTTGATATTTAAAAAATTCTGATATGTGTACAGAAAAGATATTCTAATCGTCATTTTCAAATAAGAAAACTTAAGTCCAACAAAAATAAGTCATTTACCCAAAGTAGCCTAAAATATAGTTAGTGTTAGAGGTTAGATCATATTCTGGGACTCTGAATTATTAATATTTTGCTCTTTTTACTACATTGCATGGTCATCATGGTCTTCCATTGTCTTTCTGTATTGTGCTTTAAAAAAAAAAAAAAGGAAAAACATTCTTTGCATCATCACAAAAAAAACCCAACAATGATTGACACATAAAATTAATTATTGCCAAAAAAAGAAGAAGAAAAGCAATGACCAGAGGAGATAAAGATGTCAATAAAGGAAGAGAGAATGTTGCTACCTGAAGGCCTATGGAAGGAAAGACAATCTTGCAATCATAAGCCAACCAGGATCTGTCAATTGTGAGTGGATGCCTGAAGCTCCATGTTGAGAAGTGTTTAAAAGCAGGTCTGGTTTCTCCTGGGTGGAGAGAAAGCTTCCTGGTGTATTGGTAATATCTAGATGGAGAGGAAATGTTTTTATGGTTGCTTAGTGATGAACACTATAGGCTCCAGAAACATCAGGGGATTAAGAAAGAATGATTATTTACCATTCCAGGCCTGGGCTTTATTATATCAACACCAGCCACCTGAAATTATGGCACAAAGCATATTATTCTGGTGCTTCTAGTAAATTAAGGGAAACAAATTTTGATAATTAATCTCTTTGGGTGTATAAATTTATTTGGAGAGCTTTCTGTATGTTCAAATTAAGCTGAAGAATATGAATTTACTTTTCTTATAAAGAGAAATTGCATATTTAGAATTTTGGGATGATAACTTTTGACAAACTATGGCTGGCTTTAGTTAAAAGTATAAAAACAATGATGATGATGATGATGATAATGAAGATGACAATAATATTAAGGTCATAATATCTAAATATAAACACCCTCCACAGAGAAGAAAGCTGATGAAGGAGAACTGACCTAAAAGATTCACACACAGGCCATCCAACATGTAAAAATATTTTCAAACTTATAAAAATAATACTTTGCAACTCTTTTTACCTCTAAAGAAGTGTTGAAGGGCCACAGGGAAATTAAAACATGATCCAGTTTCCTATTTTAATTGAAAAAAATCTTGACCAAGATTTATAACTGTCCTTGCACAAAAAGAGCACTGCAGATGCAAAATTTTTTAAATTGTTTTCAGTTATGATTTCTAATTTGGGATGGTGTTTGTTATTGTTGTCTTCTTTGTGGCTGTTTTTTCACTATAAAGCATCATCCCAGAATCTTTCTGCTTTAGGGTACAAATTGAAATAAAACTTTATTTCAGATTACCCACTTGAAAGTCATAGAGAAAACAGCAAAGTGTAACCAGTCATTTAGGAAGCCTTCACTCCACCCAGATCAACATGAAGCCAGGAACAAGACAGAATTAGTTGCTGGGACAGCAAACAGCAATGTCCCAAACACTCCATGACAGAAAAAAATCCTGAAGACTATGTACCAAAGGCAATTAATTCACCTATGAAATTAAAAAATTAGGTAGCATTTATTTTATTTTCAGATAAATTGCAATCTTATTGGGAAACTATTTATTTCAAATAAACTAAAAATATAGAAAAATAAACTGACAGTAATTCAAACTTGTGCATCTAGAAGAATTTCATGGGGATCAGTTCAAGACAACTAACATGTAAAAAACAACTACATAGAATTCAAATTAAGAATATATATATTTTAAGAAATAAATATATATATTCTATATATATTCCAAATGTATTCATATACATTTCATATATATTCATACATATTCCCTATATATTATATATGTATATATTCCACATATATATATATATTTTCTCAGAAGACCCACTGTAAAATAGAAGCAAGCCTAAGCACAGTATACTCATATGTCTTATTACAACAACGTGGGACATTTAAAATTGGGCTTGCCATTT